AAGTACCTGATATGAATATACTCTTAATAATTATGTTAATATAAAACTTTTTAACGTGACACCATAAGCTAGACAATATGTTATATGGAGAACATCAACTATTGAATATGCCCCTCAAAATGAAATAAAGCATGACACATTCTATGAAAAAGCTACCTTTCATGATGCTCTTCTAGTGAATGAAATGCAGATTGTATAGTTATCTTCATCACCCGTAGATTTTGCCCAGCTAATAATTATAGTTTATATATGTTATGCTCCGAGGATATTGTTTTTGCTGGTGTAATAGACTTAATTCTTACTGCACTCACAGTCACAGATGTCTGTACTTAGTAATCTGGTGCTTCACGAAGATAATCAAGAACATTGTACGGACTTTATTTTTTGTGTTAGGAACTAAAGTTTTGACCTGGTCTGCAGTCGGAAATCCTTTTTGGTTGTTAAAATTATTATTAAGTAATTGAAAAGATAAAAAGAATGAGTGGTTGTGTAAATTGTTTTAGAACTGCAGAGACTAATTAGTTCTGGTCCATGTAGGATTTGGCTTCCAATTATCAAACTTTTGTACATGGTCTCTTATGTTTAACTAACTACAATATGCAGGAGTTACTACAAGTGCACAAATGCTGGATGCCCCGTGCGAAAACATGTTGAGAGGGCATCTCATGACCCTAAAGCCGTCATAACGACTTATGAGGGAAAACACAACCATGATGTCCCGACTGCGAAGAACAGCAGCCATGAGTATGCGGGAATTCCTAAAATGAGGCCCCAAGATAGTGGTGGTTCTATCAGCCTCGATCTTGGTGTTGGAATTGGTCGCAACATTGAGATTAGAACAAATGAACAATTGCAGGCTTTGGGTGATGAAGCTGCTAGGAACAAAACTGGAAGCACAATGCAAGGTTCACAGATCCCTGTTTGCTATGGCATTGTAAAAGGTGGTTTGAATCTTTATGGACATAGAGATAATCGTGTTGAAGATCGTAGCTTTCAGACTCCACCGATGCATCCCTCTAACCAATGTCAGCCAAACCTAGGAAGTATAATTATGGGGCCATGAAAATATTGCTTGTTGTTATTATAGAAAAATAAAAGAAAGTTAAGTCTTATTTTTTCTGCTGTGTTGATTAGTTAAGAGCCTAGGGGTTTATATTTAAACATCCTTATTGTGGTAACTAGGAATGTTGATTTTTCTTTGTTAAAGCACCAGCGTGGGTCGGCCTTTTTCTGTTTGTTAAT